CACTCAATATAAAGAAAATGTGCACAGACTGAACAGAAATGGACAGAACGAACCCGCGGGAAACACAAGGGACTGAAAAACATTCTGATCCATGAGGAAATCTAACCTGAGGTGACTTTTATTTCATTTGTAAACACTGTTGGGCGAGTTACTTCAGAACTGTCACGTGTTATTTATGACTTGTTATTGTCATTTTAAAGTAATTCATTACAATATAATCTTACTGTATTTAAAATGTTAAATATTACAGTACTTTAAGTTACTCTCAATAAAATAACTGTGGCTGATCAACAAATAAAACAGCGAGTAAAGACACGGAACTTTTGCACCATATATGGTCTAAACCAGGACTAAACCAAGACTCAACCAGGACTAAACCAAGACTGAGCCAGGACTAAGGTTGGACCGAACCAGAATTGAATCAGAACTAAACCAGGTCTAAACTAGGACTAAACCAGGTCTAAACCAGGATCCAAACCAGGTCTAACCCAGAACTAAACCAGAGCTGAACCAGGACTGAACCAAGTCTGAACCAGGTCTGAACCAGAACTGAACCAGAACTAAACCAGGACTGAACCAGGTCTAAACCAGAACTGAACCGAGGACTGAACCAGAGCTGAACCAGGTCTAAACCAGGTCTAAACCAGGACTAAACCAGGACTAAACCAGGACTAAACTAGGACTAAACCAGGTTTAAACCAGAACTAAACCAGAGCTGAACCAGGACTGAACCAAGTCTGAACCAGGTCTAAACTAGGACTAAACCAGGTCTAAACCAGGACTAAACCAGGACTAAAACCAGGTCTAAACTAGGACTAAACCAGGTCTAAACCAGGACTAAACCAGGACTAAACGAGGACTAAAACCAGGTCTAAACTAGGACTAAACCAGGTCTAAACCAGGACTAAACAGGACTAAACCAGGACTAAACCAGGTCTAAACTAGGACTAAACCAGGTCTAAACCAGGACTAAACCAGGACTACACCAGGTCTAAACTAGGACTAAACCAGGTCTAAACTAGGACTAAACCAGGTCTAAACTAGGACTAACCAGGTCTAACCAGGACTAACCAGGACTAAACCAGGACTAAACCAGGTCTAAACCAGGACTAAACCAGGACTAAACCAGGTCTGAACCAGAACTAAACCAGGACTGAACCAGGTTTAAACTAGAACTGAACCGAGGACTGAACCGAGGACTGAACCAGGTCTAAACCAGGACTAAACCAGGACTAAACCAGGACTAAACCAGGACTAAACTAGGACTAAACCAGGTTCTAAACCAGAACTAAACCAGAGCTGAACCAGGACTACACCAGGTCTAAACTAGGACTAAACCAGGTCTAAACCAGGATCCAAACCAGGTCTAACCCAGAACTAAACCAGAGCTGAACAGGACTGAACCAAGTCTGAACCAGAACTAAACCAGGACTGAACCAGGTTTAAACCAGAACTGAACCGAGGACTGAACCAGGATCCAAACCAGGTCTAACCCAGAACTAAACCAGAGCTGAACCAGGACTGAACCAGGTCTGAACCAGGTCTGAACCAGAGCTGAACCAGGTCTAAACCAGGCTAAACCAGGTCTAAACCAGGTCTAAACCAGGACTAAACCAGGACTAAACCAGGTAAACCAGGACTAAACCAGGACTAAACCAGGACTAAACCAGGACTAAACCAGGACTAAACCAGGACTAAACCAGGACTAAACCAGACTAAACCAGGACTAAACCAGGACTAGGACTTGGAGTCTAGGACTGCTCCTGAGAGAACCCTGAGCCCGTGGAGCAGGGCATCTGCAGAGTGGGACAGAGTGTCAGCTGTGATGAGCTCCTTGCGGCGCTGAGCTCTGCGCCCGCGGTTACTCGACGGTTTACACGGGCGCACCTCCGGGCCTGTCCCGACATTCGGAACCGTAACGATGGCGTTTCACTGCTGCTGATATCACTGTCATTTACACTGATATTTACATATTTTTGCACACCTCTATTTGTGATTAAGCCTCGACAGGTGGAGGGCGGCAAGTCACACAGCAGCATGAGGTTTGTGCGGAAGTGAAAAAGGGAAGCACTCAAGTGTTTTCCAATCACTTTTAGCGAGAGCCATTCCAGAATGATAATGTGTAGAGCTTCAGAGAGACACACACGAGTCTGGGCCTGTCCACACGACAACGTTTTTTGGTCAAAACAGTGAAGTTAGGTGAAGCAAATAGGAATAAGTGAATTTTTATTGGAAAATCTTGCACTTGGCTCCACTTTTCTCATGTTGGACATTTCTCTGATGAGGGTGTCACGGTCAACAGTCAAAACGATCGTCCTTTAAGAGCGTTTGGACAGAGACAAGTCTTCATTTGTGCTGCTCTGGTGGGAGGGGCCACGTACAGAGACGCTGGAGACGCTGCTGTGATAAGCACCACAGAAAATTAACAAGATTTTAATAGAAAATATCATTTAAATATTTTAGCAGAAAATCAGCCGAGGGCCAGATTAAAGGTCTTGGAGGGCCGGATCCAGCCCGTGGGCCGTATGTTTGACACCCTTGATGTAGACTAAAGAGCTAAAGAGTTTTACCACGTCACAAGTTTATTTTCGAGCGTCATTTACAGAAACCTGCTGAAGTATCTCGTCTTGGAGCTATTGTTTTAACCTCATTTGCTCCTGTACATTATCCCGAGCTTTACACCACTTTACTCTTTAGTATGCGTCAACTTTAAGTCTGTAATAGCGTCGCCCCGGTCAAATCCGACTCCTGAAAATGAGCTCTCCGCAGAGGGCCGTGTCTCCTCCGTCGAGGGCTGAGTCGGTGTGTTTTATGGGCCCAATACTTGTGCGGGCGCCTGCCGAGCAAACAAATGAGTCCATCCATCAGGTTTATAAGTGCGCCTGGTTTTAGTGAAGGTCCGATATGCCGATGCATTATCACCACTCAGGCTGCGCGCGCTTTAATGTGGCCTCGGAGGATTTCAACAGCCCCGCACGCCGCATCTGTCAACATTATGAGACGCTCGCAATTTAAAACCAGTCAGAAGCCGCGTCTCTGATTCATTTCACTGCTATTTTCGCGCAACAGAGCAAGAGCAGAAAATGTTTAGTTAAAAGGGCCTGGATCTCATTTTTCTCCCGTTTTTGAGCACGGTTTGTCTTGCTTCGGCGCAAATGTTTTGTATAAGCAGCTCTCGAGGTCAAGATAAGTTTGTCTTTGCACTGTTCGCGTTTTCTGGTCCGAGAGTCAGGATGTGAGCGGTTAGGATGCTAGTCGTTGGCCTCTGAATGGGGCTCATTGTGGTGAAAAATTAAGAAGCTCTGAAGGAATAAATCTGGATGAGTTTTGTTTTTCACGGTTTTAAGAAAATCAAGTCATGAAAATCTTTAACGGGAAAGATGAAAACGAGAAAATAATATTAAATCTGAACCCAGGAAGTGCTCCTATGTGTTTTTAAAGTTCATATACAGTATCTTGGAGTCTGGGGAAAACATTAAAAAACATTAGTCTTTCTATCTTACGTTGGATAATTCTTTGTTTTCCAACTCAGTGGGTAGTCATATTTTAAAATACTGTGACATTTAAAGGTGTTTGAAAATTATTTGTGGTGAATCTTTACATCTTTTGGACACGTTTTGAAGAATTATGGACATCAGCATCATTACAGCAACAGATGGGACAATATACTACGACAGTAAAACTACGACTACTTCAGCCCAGAAGATGAATTAAGGCCTATTCAGCTTCTGTTTCCATTCTAGTACTTGTTTTGGAAATACTTTTAAGTCTTAGTTCTTTGGATTAAGGCATTTTAAGAGGAAAAAGCAGCATATTCACAATTTTAGCTGTTTAGCCTCCACAAAATATCGCAATAAATATTGTACGTGAGATGTATTTCGTGAAAATGTCGTAGACATTTGGATATTGTTACATCCCTAATCATGAGCTATCCCTTGATATCGCAATAAATATCGTAGCGTGAGGCTCATACCGTGATGATATCGTATCCTGACACTTCGATATCGTTACACCCCTCGTAAAAAGAGGTTATAAAGTCCAAGGCACTCTGTTGGAATTAGAATGAACGTCCTTTGTCCCATATAACCATTAAAAGACACAGTAAGTTTTTACTTTACGAACTTGGTCTTGGTCTTCAATATATGTTTGCTTTTGAGCTTCATCCTTGAGGAGCACATGTTGTGGACTTCTACAGAGACTGCGTTCAGACTGCAGCCTGAAGTGACCCAAATCTGAATTTTTGGCCCCTATGTTCCTGTATCTGATCTTTTAATGATGACACAGATCCAATTTTTTCGAATGTGACCCAGGACACTTGGACATGTGCTCCTAAAACTGATACATATCTGATCTTTTGACATGCGACTTCAGTCTGAACGGCCAAAGTGCATTCATCCACCTACACGTTATCAACAAGACACAAACGTCACTATTCTGCGCTGAAGTAGGAGAAAATTGTTAATGAACTCTGTGTCACTGAAGTGAAGCACATCACCACTCACCACTCTTGGCTCCGTCTCCACATCCACACGTTCCTTTCAACGGACTCACAAAACTCCACAGCCAAAAACCTCGTCCTTCTCCTTCTCAATCTCCTCCTTAAAACAAGTAAGTTGTTCATGTTCTGGCTCTGGTACGAGAGGAACTTTAAAATCTCCAGGTGCTCGATGCTGCGTCCATGTTTGGACAACTTCCATAAACACAGAGACGCTCGCTGCGGTTGACGTCGTCGTGTCTCCAGTGTCACATGTGGGACACTTTTGGGCCGTTTAATGTTCACACTGGAGTCACATACAAGTCACATTTAACTGGAAATGTGAACGACCTCGCAAAAACATCGGATTTCACAAAAAAATCTGAATTGAGCGTTAAGCCCTGCAGTCTGAACGTAGCCCAAAACACCCTGAAGCTCTGACTTCCTCTGTGTTTTTGTGGTAATTTTGTCTCATGAGTTCTTGTTCTATCCCATATGTAATGATCATAAAAGTGTCGTCTCTTACCACGATGAGGTTCCACATCCGCGCCGCCTCTGCCACCAGCGTGGACACGGAGCTGCAGCCGGGCATCAGGACGATCTTGATGGGCTCGGTGTACAGCAGGTCGTACAGGAGCTTCGTGGCCTCTCCCGGGTCACACTGTGGGGCAGAACCAGGAAACAGAACAAAAGTTAAGACTGGGAATCACAAGGTTTCTCACGATTCGACATGATACACGATACATGCACATTCAGAATTACTGTTGAACTTTTTACCGACGCGTCAGTTTTTTTCGTCTGCTTCGGTCGCGCCATCGCTGGACGAGATCTCCTAGAATCACCTCAGTTTGGCTTTGCTACTTTTCCACTTCTCTTCTTCTTTCAGCGACCTCAAAAACGGACTTTCTTTTGCGGCGAACCGGTCGTGGATTCTCGTCCGCCGTCGCGACAAACTTTGTGCGAAATGCGAGGAAGCGACAGTTCGAAAAAGCCTCTAAGAACCGCTGCGTAAACCACGTAATCCCCGCGCTAAGATGAGTCAGTTATACTAGGGAGTTTGATTGACAACCTAACAGCCAATAGAAAATGAGGGAGCCTCGTTTTCTATTGGCTGATGTTTATCTGGCCTCAACTACGTCCACAGTTGATAGATTTTCGTTCTTTTTTTTTTTGGTCATCATAATTACAAAGCTGCTGCGTCTCTGTAATGGTATTTTAATCTTTCACTGACAGTTTGAAACTAAAAAAAATCCTCCATACAACCTTTAAATCACTTCCTGAGCGAAATGAAAAGTGCACTGTGCAGGTTTTGGTGCAGGGTCCGTCACCATCTTCTCTCCATGCGATGTTTCCTGGACGTTTTACAGTTCTACAGTTACGGCATTACACTTATTTATCTCTACGGAGACGCCATAGGGCCAGATTACAGGTCAGATCTGTGGAAAGTCGAGCCCAATCACAGTAAGAATGTGAGGTTTTAAGTCAGAAAAAGACCATTTTATTGAGTAAATGTAAGATTAAAGCAACACCGTTTTCATGGAGACACGAAGATCCACCCCAAAAAAAATTACACAGTGCACCTTTAATATGAAATCAGAGGTGTAAAAATTACAAAAAATTGCAATTAAGTAAAAGTATAAAGATACTTTTACTTAATTGCAACTTTTCTTAATTCCGACTCAAGTAAAAGTAACCATCTAAAAATCTAAAAAGGTAAAAAAGTACTTCATTTAAAATTTAATTTGAGTTATCTAAAGTTACTTTAATCAAGGTGATACAGACAAACTTTGTACATTTTAAAGACAACTGAGCTAAACCAGGACTAAACCAGGACTAAACCAGAACTGAACCAAGACTGAACCAGGACCAAACCGGGACCAAACCAGGACTAAAGCAAAACTAAACCAGGATTAAACCAGGACTAAACCAGGACTAAACCAGAACTGAACCAAGACTGAACCAGGACCAAACCGGGACCAAACCAGGACTAAAGCAAAACTAAACCAGGATTAAACCAGGATTATACCAGGACTAAACTAGGACTAAACCAGGACTAAACCAGGACTAAACCAGGATTAAACCAGGATTATACCAGGACTAAACTAGGACTAAACCAGGACCAAACCAGGACCACACCAGAACTAAACCAGGACTATACCAGGACTAAACCAGGACTAAAACCAGGACTAAACTAGGACTGAACCAGGATTAAACTAGGACTATACTAGGACTAATCCAGGACTGAACCAGGACTAAACCAGGATTATACCAGGACTAAACCAGGACTGAACCAGGACTAAACCAGGACTAAACCAGGACCAAACCAGGACTAAACCCGGAACAAACCAGGATTAAACCAGGACTAAACCCGGACCAAACCAGGACTGAACCAGGACTGAACCAGGACTAAACCAGGACAAAACCTTTCTAGGTATTTTTGAGCATTAAAACCACCTGTAATCGAATAAACGTAAACTAGACAATGACATCTCCATGGAAACATGCGGACGACTGACCCTCCACCAGAAAAGTTACATAATGCACCTTTGAAGCTTCTAATTTCAGTGTGTAATCAGTGCGTCATTGCCTGAATAAAGTCCATAAAAACAAGTTGATTACAGATATTTTTTATCCCGTGTGAATGCAAAGACACAAACACAGACGTCACGGGGTAATTTCAATGTTGCTGACGTCCCTATAAATAACCCCGAGTGAACAGGCCTTCACGCCGGCTTATCGTCATGACACTGGCCATGCTTCGTCCTTCTCGATTAGTGTGCGTCTCAATTAAAAGTACAGCGGAACCAAATTAGGCAAAAGGAGTTCTTACTAAGGCTGGGGATCATTAAGAAGTTGCCGATACGATGCATGTCTCGATACGTAGGCCACGATACGATACATGTCTCGATACGTAGACCATGAGATGATACATATCTTGATACATAGGCCACGATACGATGCTTATTTCGATACGTAGGCCACGAAACGAAACATGTCTCGATACGTAGGCCACGATACGATGCATATTTCGATACGTAGGCCACGATACGAAACATGTCTCGATACATAGGCCACGATACGATGCTTATCTCGATACGTAGACCGCGATACAATACATGTCTCGATACACAGGCCACGATACGATACATATCTTGATACGTAGGCCACGATACGAAACATATCTCGATACATAGGCCACGATACGATGCTTATTTCGATACGTAAGCCAACGAAACGAAACATGTCTCGATACGTAGGCCACGATACGATGCATATCTCGATACGTAGGCCACGAAACGAAACATGTCTCGATACGTAGGCCACGATACGATACATATTTCGGTACGTAGGCCACAATATGATACATATCTTGATACGTAGGCCATGATACGATACATATCTTGATACGTAGGCCATGATACGATACATATCTCGATACATAGGCCACGATACGATGCTTATTTCGATACGTAGGCCACGAAACGAAACATGTCTCGATACATAGGCCACGATACGATGCTTATCTCGATAAATAGGCCACGATACGATACATATCTTGATACGTAGGCCATGATACGATACATATCTTGATACGTAGGCCATGATACGATACATATCTCGATAAACAGGCTACGATACGATACATATCTCGATACGTAGGCTACGATACGGCGCTTATCTCGATACAGTGAGCTCTTGATTTGATACAATATATTTCAAACTGATTCGATATGATTCAATAAAAAATAAAGGCTAAATCATGGTTGTAAAATCTACTTGTGGATTTTCAAATGAAGTGTGCTGAAACATTAGCCTGATTCAACAGCCAGTTTCACTTCGTGGAAACAGTCTGACATCGCAGCATTAGGATTCGTTTGCTCAACTGTAGGCAGGTACTTTGTTTATTTAACCAATCGCTGCTATTTGGTCTTGACGTATGTAATGCACCTTATAATCCAGAGTGACTAATAGCTCAGAAAATAAGGTAAATAAAAACTATGGCAGCAAAAAAAAAAAAAAACTAAACTTAAAAGATATGATGTAGGTTTAGACATGAAAACATAAAACATTAGTCCAGTTTGTTTTCACTTGTAAAACAAAAGATTTTTAGATTAGACTTTTATTCTCTCTTTTATTATCATTAAGTATACCAGATCTTTGGCATTTTTCGCACTAAAAACATGAAACTTGGCACTGCACACACCCGCAGCGTTAGGATAAGAACTTCCAAATTTGAGATTAGTCAGAAGAGAATTATGCGTGGAATATGAGGAGACACAGACAGACGTTCTTTGCATTAATAGACACGTCAAAACAAACAAGTAATAGACCCAGTGAAGACCCAAAACTACAGAAACATGTACACAAAAACCTAAAAAAGTTGCAGACACTTATAAACTTAAGTGATCTGAATAACAATCTTTAAAAAATTCTTAAGATCCCAAAGAAGTGAGTCATTCTTGGAAAGCCGAATGACTGCATTTATCCCTGCTACTCCAAGCTCTTTACATCAAGTGCCCATTCATTCATACGCACAACCGCGCACACACACACACACACACACACACAACCACACACACACAGTCAAGAGCCAAGGTTCACAGAGCCCCAGGGCGGTTAGTCAGTGTCACATGAAGGAGCCAGGATCGTACTGCCAACCGTGCTCTCTCTGGACGCCCTGTTCTCCTCTCCGGCCCCTCACACCTCTCGCGTGTCCAAGGCTCCGATTTGGCGCCGGGAAAATGCATTCATCCGGTAAAAAAGCATGGCTCATTTATTCCTCCCAAACACATTCAATCCAGAAAATGTGCACTTTGATTTAAAGGTCTTATATTATGCAGAATTTACCCTGTGAGCTTTTAGTCGTGTTGTAATGCTGTTACCTCCTCGGAAACAAAAACGTACTGGAGGTGTTTTGTTTTGTTTTGTTTCATTCACACGTTTGACTAATCTTTTAGTGTTAGTCTGTCTTCTACGGATGGGCGTGATCGATTTGAATTGACACAGTCCCACGTTTGGGCTCTGGCTCCTTGGAGATCACATCAGTGTCCCGGTATGGTCGTTTATTTTTTTGAGTATCTCGGTTTCGTCATGGTGCATGTAAAACACGGGTGTCAAACTCATTTTGGATTCAACCTACTTTGATTCTAAAGGGGCCAGATCAGAAAACTCATGACATACAAACCCCAAAAATAGCAATAAGTTCAAATATTTGTGCAGAGAAACACAAATCTATTACAGAAATCTTTTTTAATTGATGAACTCTTTCTTTTACAAAATATTATAATTTTATGAACAACCTGAAATTTTAAGAAAAATACAATTTCAACACAATGGTTTTAACATGAACTTCGTATGTAAATAGGAAGTAAGTCAATTTTTGTTGTAAAATCCTGCACTCGGCTCCACTTTTCTCATGTTGGACATTTTTCTGATGAGGGTGTCACAGTCAACAGTCAAAACGATCGTCCTTTTAAGAGCGTTTGGAAAGAGACAAGTCTTCATTTGTGCTGCTCTGGTGGGAGGGGCCACGTACAGAGACACTGGAGACGCTGCTGTGATAAACACCACACAGAAAATTAACAATATTTTAATAGAAAATATAATTAAAATATTTTATAAGAAAATCAGCCGAGGGCCAGATTAAAAGTCTTGGAGGGC